TGATAGAAAGCCTAATCCTGTTGGTTTCTTGTACATCTGATCTGAGAGCTCTGTAGGCTTGGCTTCCCTCAGGGGCAATGACTGAGAAACATTAAGCATCTCAACTCCAACCAAGCTTTAGTATAAGTGAAGTGCTAAGCTGCTCAGTACTATAAAACTCTGACACTTTGAGGCCCGTAAGGTTACAAACTGCAAGCCCTGTGAAGGGTGGATATCTCAAAGACCAGAGAACATGTGAGCCAGTGTTGTTCTTCTGCTCTTACATTCCACCAAAGTGTCTGCATTGGTGCTTAAATCCTGTTTTGGGTCCGGTCCACGGGCTCTGGCCTGATATCAGGTTTCACTGAACAGTTTATTCTTATTTTTAAGCCTACTGCACAAATCAAAGAATTTCAGGTTAATTTATTTTATTAACTGCTCCAGCAGGGAGCCACAACAGTTATCTTCCTTCACAACAATGCCATCTATACATGGCAAACAGCCAGTTGCTCTTGAAAGAAAACTTGGCCTTTAATAAGCTGTCTAATTAACTACTAGTCTTATGATGTACAGCTCAGTTTTCCTAAGTCATTCCTTTGCCAAAGCTCAAGTCTTAGCATCTATTGCCTCCTGTGTAGCAAATGCGTTTCCTAGTCATTCTTCTGTTTTGAAACTACTGTAACGCAGATCAAGGGCCAGACTCTGTGTTCCTTCTCTAGAAATACTTATTCCGTGAAGCTTCTGCTGCTGTTTGGAGACAATTGAATTAGAAGACAGATCTGAGTAAGGGATTAACTTTTTAGATAGAAGCCACAAACCAGAGCGAAACAATCATTGGAAACTGATTTTAATATCATGTGAGTCCCTGCTTTCTTAGTGCTTTAGCTGGAGGATGAAAAGTTGAGGAGACCCACACTGATTTTTTTTACATTGCATTATTACATCAGGGCCTGTTTTTAATGAAAAAAAAAATATTTTCAAGGGAAATAAAAACTTTTAATGTACTCCCAGCAACTTTACTTCATAAAAGTCTGAGACTGCTTTCCAAGACTGCCCGGGAAAACTAAAAATATGGCTGTTGATGCTGGTAACAGATAATCCATGGCCAGTACAGCTACAGAAGGTTTAAGTCAAAAGAAATTTTGCCATAAAGATTTAAATCAGTGGAAGCATAAACAGGCATGATTTGCAATAACGTCACTCGAAATCGTGCTTCTGGGGAAGATCATGTAGCTAGGGAACGGTGAGTTGATCCAATAGCAAACTTTTCAGAGTATTTGTCTCAGAGATGCCACTTGATAGGCTTCAGTTATTTATGTAGTATATTTTGTGATGTTATGAACAGAAATATATTAAAGTTCAAATCACGCAGAGGCAAGAGAAATAAAGAATAAATGAGGCTATGAGTTGAGAACATAATGGAGCTGAGTCTTCACTTGTCTGCCCACGTGATTATTGACAATGTCAGCATTGCAAAATGCATCCTTGTGTGGCCGCCGAGGACTGAAGCCTGCGACGAAAACCAGCAGGCTCAGTGCACGCTCTCTGTTCAAAGCAGAACCAACACACTCTGCTCTACCAGCAGATGGGCAGCCCCTGGACATCTCTCCAACAACAGCTTCATACAGGGAAGCCAATGCCAGGAAATGTTTCCTGCCCCTGTTCCCAAGGTCCTTCACAAGCCTTCTTCAGCCACTGTCCCGCTGGGGTTTGGGAGGCAGCTGCAGGGCTCCCCGTGCCACCCTGCTCAGCCCGGCAGGGAGGCAGCGCGGAGGTGGTCGTGGTGGCTTTACCACCAGGCTTTACCGTGTCACTGTCCACCGCTGCCTGACCGCAGTGCAGTTGCTCTCCTCTCTTCTCCGTTACAGGGATCACTGGTCCCACACCATCGGGGGACAGCTGTTTTCCAGCTGTCCGTAGGGTGTTGGAGGAGCTAGGTAATTTTGCAGATAAATAATCTTCAGAATCACTTGTTTTCTGCTGTGGGATTACTGTTAACTAATACAGCCCTTGAAGAAATTAGTTTTATCTGACCCGAAGTTAAGGTTATTTCATAAAGAAAGCGTAAAGCCTGCTTGGTTTTGTCTAGACAACTGTTACGCAGTTGAACGTTGCCTTGAAGGTTAGTAGTGGGATGCTGAGATGTGTGGATATGTGTCATACTCTGGGAAATGATGGAAACGGAGGAACAGTGGTTTGATGAAGTGATGAGTTCTGAGGAAAACCCAGGCATGCGGTGTGGTAAAATGTTAGTAATGCATAACATATGAAAAGTAACCAAACATTGCTGTGTCTGTTAGTGCTTGCGTACATACGTAGCTATTTTTTTATGTGTAATGAAAGTGGCATAGTGCAATCCCATGCATAGCTTTGGAAATTTTGAGGGTGGGATTACTAACCATCCAAGAGTCAGAAGGGCTGCTTATGGTTAACATCCTTCTTGTAATTTTCCATACTGCACACATCCCATCAGAAGTAACTCTAGGGAATTTTATGAGATTGCCTCCTTAGAAAGATTGTATTCTTTTAATTATGTTTGTGTCATCAAATCTGGAGAGTCATTGTGAGGTCTGGTTTTGTCTGCTAGTATAGCTTCATAGCCATATCACTGGCATAGCTGCTTCTTGTATGTAAATGAAAATGTCATGCACTGGCATAAGACATCTGTGTGGTGATATAATTGTGCCCATGCTGGGAACAGCACTGATGTAACTATCTACGTAATCATGACACCCAAACACAAGAAAAGACCAAATGAGACAGAATCTGCATGCAAAGACAGGGCCTGAATTAATGTATTTTATACGATTCTTGGCACTATGAACCTGAGAGTAATTTAGACCTCCTCCAGTAAGCTGCTTTCTGTCTTGTTTATGTGCTTTTTGGTGCTTGTTAAGAGTTTCAGTTCAACTGCTTGTGTGGATTCAGTTCAGCACTAGTATGAAAGTATCTTACTTCCTATACAGGTTCCACTCATTTGTTTAGACCGATTGTATCACCATGAAAAGGTATTTTTCTTGGTACTGTGCACATGCATTTTTTCTGAGTTTTGTTACTCATGCTGCTGTAGCTGAACCACTTACAGTTACATTTACATAGAGTTTACTCAATATAAAATTTACTCGTAGACTGAAAGGGCCAGATTCAGAAGTGATACATAAAGGGCCAAATGGATATGAACCTAAGCAAAAGCAACAGGACTTTAAGTATTGCATCTTCCTTGTTGAATATGCCTCAGATGATAGACACTATAGTATCATGACCTCACTTGGAGCCTCTTCCAGTATTGGTCCAGAAATGCTGAAAATAATAGGAAGTTTATTTGCCTAAGGAAGACTGGAGAAAAATACATTTATTTTAAAGTACTTGAAACTGGGCGTCCTTATCCTGTACCTTCCCATAACCCATGCAGAACCAGAAGCAAAGTCTGGGGAGCTAAATGGATGTCAAGATTGGGAGCCAGTGGGATAAGAGAGAAAACACCCTGCATGTCATCTGCATTGCTATAGAATGGAAGTTTTTCTTAAACCATGGATTACACCTGTGAAAATTTGGGAATTGAAGTACTTTTGAACTTTATTCCTCCTCTTCTTATGAGACTGTTTTTTTCATTGGTACTGCAGCATTTAAGTCTTGACATTAAGTAGCACCAAGAGTGCACTTACCGGAAAAAGTTCCCAGACACCTGGAAACCAGAACTGATCATGACATTCTTGCTCCACATATGTAATATTGCTGTGTAATTTTAGCTTGAAAATGTCTTTATTTCATCTTAGGGGAAAAAAAAATAACACTTTCTTTTGTAAAGAGATGGTCCGTCACAGTATCTGTGAACTCAGTGTGTTTTTCTTTGACTTCAGTGGGTTTTGAATCCTGTATGTTTTCCAGTTTGCCTAAATTTGAAACTATCATAATCAGTGAACATTGTTGACCTGGAGCCTCATACAGGATATCTGTTATTCGGATGGATTAATTGTGAAAGGCTTCATGAAAGAAGGTCATTATAAAAGGAGATCTCAAGGGAAGACGAGAGTCTTAAAAATGAAGGGAAAAAAGGTGCTCTTTGATAATTTTGATAATAACTTTTGATAATACTGTCATGCTTTGAAAATTATATTTTCATTCAACCACAAAGAAATGTCTAGAAGTGTTCCAAATGGCATGATACCTACTTTTCCTTCTCAACTAAAAAAGCATATATATATACATTCAGACTAGCATTCTTCTCTCTGTTTCAGGAGAAGCACTGAAAAGTTATTGCCGATGACTCAAATACAATGTCTGGCCAAAGTTATCTGGCCTTCATCTTTATCATTGCCATTACCATTATCATTATCATCCTGAAATGGAAAGAAAAAACCTAATGCTACCTGCATGGTTTTTGGAGACACCCCATATCTACAAGTAGGAAGCATGTGATCGAGTTGTTGCACTAGTAAGACTAGGGATTTTATGCTTTGTCTTATCACTGACTCTTTAAGCAGCCTCTGAGAATTGCTTCAATACTTGGTATATTGGGTAATGCATTATTAAACATTGCACTACTTGACAGGTGTGACATGAGGTTTAATGTATAACAATCTAATTTCTTTAAGTGCAAGTGTAAGACTTGTCTTTTGAAAAGAAAGGTGATCTCTGGTTCAAGGACTGAGCAGAAATCCGAAGCTTTCTCTCTGTGCCTTGGTTCACCTTCTGTAAATAAAGAGAATATTTCTTCTGTTTTGATTGTCATTGAAGAAATGCTTCTACAGCATGTATTTTGAGTACCTAACTCAAAGCAAGTTTGAGCCACTATATGCATTGCAGAAATAGAAATGTAAATAACAATAGTTACAGAATGTATACAAATCCTAGTAAGGTCAATGAAAATATTCCCACTAACTTTACTGCATCGACATCTTTAGATGGAAGCTTATATTGATGTTTTTATCCAGGTTCTGCTGTTTGCAAATGGCTGGTGACTTTAACCTACGGGTGTAAAAATTTATTTTAATGATTTTTTTTTTTTCCTTCCTGGGCAGGATTTATGTGGGCATCATTCATGTGATACTCTGGGAATGGCAGACGTTGGGACCATATGCTCTCCTGAGCGCAGCTGTGCAGTGATTGAAGATGATGGCCTCCATGCAGCTTTTACAGTGGCTCACGAAATTGGTATGCAGTGCCTTTTCTGTTCGCTTGCCAAATCAAACACTTGTAACAGCTGCATTAGTAACCAAAATACTTCGCAATTAATTCCAGATTTCCCCTGGTCCAGATACTCACTCGGGGATTAAGGCTGTATACATATGCACTTCAGGGTTAACTAATAAGGGATCAGAAGGCAAGTGAAGGCACACAGTAGGTGTTTCCTTTCTGACAGTGTCGTTTCTTAGCAGTAGTTGAAGTGAGAATTCAAAGGCTGCTGCTACTGTCCAGAGATGTCAATACATGTCCCTCTTGAGAAAGCATTTGACCCATCTGCTGTGATTCACGTGCATTTAGTGCATACACAGTGGAAAATAACTCCATCTTTTTGAACTGCTTGCACGCTCTACTGTTATGAAACTTTTTCTTGGCACAACGTATTACCTGCAGAGAAGGTTTTTGTGGAAAAAAACAGAATTCTAATGTTTTTCTGAGTGTATGGAAATTCCACCTGTATGGTAAAATATGGTATTAATGTGAATCCTGAAATAAGTGAAATAATATTTAGGTGATAAAGGTTTCGTCAAAAAACTGTTTAACTTTGTTTCAGTTTCCACCTCAGTGGGCAGCAATTTAATGTAGGAGCCTTACATACTCTTCAGAAGGATTTAAGGTAGAATTAGTGACAGAAGAAAGTTCATATTCTGGGACATTATGTCTGTCATGATATATTCCTTGAGAGACACAGCTGCATCTTGAGCTATGTTCACTGGAAATACATTCGGTATGAGGGCTATTCGCTTTGGTGAGTGAACAGCAATTTAAAAGTGGAGAACATTTTTTTTACCATTCTTGGAAGGAAATAACAAGGAAAGGAGAACTTTCGGAGAGAGCCAATTTCTGAATTGCCTTGTACCTCATGCCAAACCAAAGTAAAGTTTACTTTGGGAGTATCATTGCAGTAGTTCAATTTTCAAGTAGCTAGCAGGTAGAGCCCAAGATTTGTGTGCCTTATACATGCCTGGCTCAGCAAGCAGAGGTCACCAAGAATGAAAAAGCAGCTGTCATGTCAGTGACCTGACCCTTCAACGGTGGGTGAACCTAAACCTACTGCTCTTATGGTGCCACAAAGAAATGAAATCAGTAGTGGCTGGAGAGGGATCATGTGTTGCATGAAAACATGAAATGTAGCAGAATGAGTCCTCAAACTAGAAATTTTATTTTAATAAGAGTATAATTATAAAAGAAAAAGCCCTCTGAAATCACCAATACAGAGCATTTGGAGATAAGTACAGCAATACATCAAATACAAATTCACATCAGATGAGTTTAGTGGCATCAAACCTGGATGCTGTAAAGCTAATGACCCATCAAAAACCTGGTCTAGAACTGGAACAAGTAGATAGGTTGGCAAACTTAGCCTATCACTCAAAGGCCAGTGTGCTAGAGGGACTGCTTGTGTCTTCTTGCATCCAGAAGTGATGCTTACTGCTGAAGGTTAGTGGGCATTGGCGAGGTTGGATGAGGGACCTACCTGTGATGCCATTGTTGATCTGTCTGGTGTGTGAAGAGGTGAGTGGTGTCTCTCAACTATCATTTTATCAGCAATAAATACATTTCAATAGATGAAAAATGAAATAACATAGATCAATAAAGATAGGGATGAGCAGTAAATGCACATTTCTGACTTTGAATTGCACACGAAGAAAATGTAAACTCAAGTGAATTATTTTTACTAATCTAGAAGCACATTTTTGAAAAAGAGCCATTTTCATACCTAGGCATTTACAGGAATCTGTAAAAGCTATAATTTTCAATGTAAAAAAGGCATGAATTGAAATGAATAAATAAGTGCCCTAATGGACAAAAAAAATCTAGTTTGAGGTTGTTTAAAATAACATCCCTTTTTTTTTCCCCTCACCATAAGATTTCAAGAAAGGAGGGGTGTAAAGTCATAGAATGATCTTTGTGTGTGTGGCCTGAAGTAGGAGAAGTTGAGGAGAAAACAGCTAAAATTGCTTGAGTACTTACATTAAATTAGAGGTCAAAAAAAGATGAAAAATGAAAGTGTGGCATGGATACCCTTTAGTTAAGCACTTCAGGGAAAACCTTGCTTTGTTTTATTTGGAGACGAGATTTCTTCCTACAATTCAGAAGTCTTAAAGTTCCCCCTGTCCTGTGGGTAGGGTGTAGCTTTAATTTTACAGTGGCTTAGTTATTCGGTGGAATTCACCTGGCAACATAAGAGATGCCCTGCAAGACAGAGGGGATGCTAAGGGCTCTAAGCCTGACATGCTCCTTTCTGTCAGCAAGAAGAGCGAGGTGAGCCGCTAACTGGAGTCATCGTCTGCAGTTTTTTAAATAATTCTGCTGCACATGCATGTGTGGCAGATGCAACATGGTTTACATGGACTTGATCTGGAGAATGGCTGTTTGTCCTCACTTTGACTTCAAGGGGATCCGAACGATCTTGTTTCCTCTCTGAAGGAACCAAGAGCGTTTTTGAGGATCATGTTCTTTCTCTGGAAGGCAAGCAAAGTAAACGCAACTGCAGCTCAAGCAAACAGGGCTCAGGTTAGATCTGTGCATAGGAAGGCAACAAGCAGCCTGCTACAGAGCAAAGCCTGATGCTTCTGTTGCCAGAGTTTCTACCATATTGTGTATTAGATGTTTATTTTGCTTCTTTCAGGTAAAATAGATGGAATTTGACTAGTGGTTTTTGAAGGGTTGAGTGTGAAAAAGCAGCAATAACAGGCAAAATCTCCAAAGAGCTATAAACAAGCGCACAGAAAGAAACAGATGCAATGAAATTCTTGGTGCAACTGATTGGCTTACAATAAGAGATGGAGGTCCATATGTAAAGATTTATAGGGTAGGACCTGAATCTTGTCCTACTTGTATATAGGAAAATTAGGACTAATTTGTATCCAGTGTCAAATGCAGAAAATGAGGATAATGCCGCAAAAAAATACGAGAGGACCTTGTAACTTTGAATGTGATAATCCAGTTTCTCCTCAGAATAAAGGGAAGCAGTGCTAATAGCATAAATGTTATTTTTAAATCATAGCCTGTCAAGACATCCAGCCACTAATGGTAAATCTATGTATGGTTATTTTCTAGCAGGACACATGCTGCTATCAGTTTGGACAGCAGTAGATTTGCTGTCACCACAATAGTCTTTTGGATTCTTGCCTGAAATTACCAGTTCAGCTCCATGTTGTGGCATATAGATGTCTTTTTTGACTTTAAGCAACTCCTTCCTCTGTGCCTCCATAGCTATGCAGGGATATCTGCACTAGCTTAGGCACAGTACATAGACATTCTCCATGTGCTTCCCTGCTTCGCAGAGACACACAGAAATCTGGGAAAAGCATTAAAGAACCCATGATTGCTCGTAATCTCAACATTTATTTAATGTTTTTCATAGGTCAGCACTAGCATATTGCTTCTGCTTATATCCTTATTAAAATAACCAGCAGGAAACAGAATAATTAGATTCTCACTCTAATACTCTAAACTTTTGGGTTGGAGATTTTGTTGCTTTCACAGTGTTGAATTATGAGCCAACCTGTGCATCCCGTGAAGATAAGTGTGATCAAACATCACCAACAGGCACAGTCAATCAATTTGAAGTTAGATTTAACATCTCTTGTGGTATAGTCAGTACATGACAATTCCTTGTTTAGTAGCCTGATGTTGCATTTTGTGATGCAGTCATGGCCAGAAGTTTCTGCTGACTTTGGCTCTTCCTATGCTGGAGTCCCACATACTTTGGAACAAACAGCCCACCGTCATAGAATCGTAGAATGGTTAGGGTTGAAAGGGACCTCAAAGATCATCTAGTTCCAATCCCGTGCCATGGGCAGGGACACGCTCCACTACACCAGGTTGCTCAAAGCCTCATATAGGGTTTGTCATTTACAAAATCAAAGCGAGAAGAGTTCAAGAGAAAAGCAGTGGAGCTACTGCTTGTTTTATCAATAGGTAGTTTCCCAAAATCACAAAGGAAGCCTCGAGGAAAGCCAAGGATTAAACTTGTCTCTTGAGTTTCAATCTAGTCCTTAAATACAAAAGCATCCTTCCTGCAGTCTTTAAGCAGGCAAAGCTCCAGTTTAGATCAATGAGAGTTACATGGGCCTAATAACTTAAATCTTTATTCTTTCTATCACTCTTGAAGAAATGTTCTTTTTTTATTATGATTTTTTAAGAGAAGCTACAGAGAAAGCTCTGCCTTTTTGCTCAGTGGTAATTTGACCTTTTGCAAAGTTCCTATGTCTCTGTTATGCAGCCACACTGACATGCTATTACTCCATCTATCCTCCTGAGTAATACGGTTTACTGATGTTCTTTCCAAGTATTTTATTTTTAGAATATAGCTTAAAATTGCTACATGGAACTAATTAAGCCTTTGTTCATTAGTTTTCTTTTATCTTTTACATGTGACTTTAGAGAAGGGAAGGCCAAAGAGGGGCACAAAAGCAGTCTTCAAATATATTAAAAAAATTGTTGCGAAAATTTGCGTGATAAATCGTTCTCGGCGTCCACCTGGGACAGCACAAGGGGTAACGGCCTTAAATTGCAGCAAGGGAGATTTACTTTAAGCGTTAGCCAAAATCATCTAACCAGCAGGACAGTTAAGGGCAGGAATGAATTGCTTGGGGAGGCTGCGAAATCGCTCTTACTGGAGGTTCGCAGGAGCCAGCTGGCGAAAACAGCTGTGGCTTGGGGGATGCTGATCCTACGCTGGAGCGGAAGGATGCACAAGATGGTTTTTCAAGATCTCATTTTCTATGGTGATGTGAAGTTATCACGACTTCCCCCACAGCTCTGCTGCCTAGGTGAACACCTAAAATCAAAGCACTCTACAGAAACTAAAACTAGAGTAACATGTTGAATACCAAGGTTTTTTCAGCATGCTGCCATCATCACTGAGGACAAAAATACCACCAGTGCTGTCAGGAAAGCGTCGTGCTTTATTAGAGACCATAGTTTTATGTAAAGAAGCCATTTTAGAAGTGATATGCCAA